TGACGTAATCAGACTGGTCCTTGGAGAGCTTAGTGAGTCTAGCACCGAGCTTGCCCAAGTGAAGCGCAGCGACCTTCTCATCCAAATGCTTAGGCAAAACATAAACCTTCTTCTCATACTTCCCACTCGCCTTCTCATTCCACAGCTCAAGCTGCGCAATCACCTGGTTAGTGAACGAGCACGACATCACGAAACTCGGGTGACCAGTGGCGCATCCCAAGTTCATCAGACGTCCCTCGGCTAACACAATGATGCCCGTCTTGGTGTCAGGGAACACCCACCTATCGGTCTGCGGCTTGATGGTGATGCGTTTCACACCAGGGAACGTCTCGAGCCCGAGCATGTCGATCTCGTTGTCGAAGTGACCGATGTTGCAGACGATGGCGTTGTTCTTCATCTTCCTCATGTGGTCGACCATGATGATGTCTTTGTTTCCAGTTGTGGTGACGAAGATGTCAGCTTCCGAGACGACGTCCTCGAGTGTCAGCACCTGGAGACCTTCCATGAGAGCCTGGAGAGCACAGATGGGGTCGATCTCAGTCACGATCACACGCGCACCGGCGGTTTTCATCGCCGCAGCACAACCCTTTCCCACGTCACCGTAACCGGCGATAACAGCTACCTTTCCGGCGATCATGACATCAGTTGCTCTCATGAGTCCGTCGGGGAGAGAGTGACGGCATCCATACAAGTTGTCAAACTGCAATCAAGTCAATTATCAGTGACACTAAAACAGAGCAATACACTAAAAAGCAGAGATCTTGCTGGATCAAGAATCAAAAACATAAAATCAAAACTTGTATCTAGAGCTAAGCCCTCTTGACATTAACAATATCATCCACATTTTGGTAGCTGAAACATTGCATTTACCCAAAATGTTCATTTCGTTTTATCCATTTTTCACAAATTGGGAACAAACATTATGTTACAAACGTCAGATCTAATCTTGTAGAGCTAAAATGGGTCACAGGAGCAAGTGAATGAATGTGGATAAGCTCTAAAGGAAGCGATACCTTGCTCTTGGTGACGGAGTCGTTGACGTTAATGGCAGGGAACAAGAGAGCTCCAGTCTCCTGCATCTGGTAAAGCCTCTTGACACCAGTGGTAGTCTCCTCCGAGACACCGACGAGTCTCTCCTTCATCTTGTGGTACTTTTTGGGATCAACCTTAAGCCCGTCTTTGATGATCGACAAAACGATCTGAAACTCGGGATTATCGGTGGAAGTCGGATCTGGGAATTGACCGGTCTTCTCGAAGATCTCCTCGGCTTTAACTCCCTCGTGGATCAAGAGCGTGGCGTCACCACCGTCGTCGACGATGAGATCGGGACCACCTCCGGGACCCCAATCGAGAGCTCTCTCCGTGCACCACCAGTACTCCTGAAGAGTCTCGCCTTTCCAGGCGAACACGGCGGCGGAATCGCGAGCGATCGCGGCGGCGGCGTGGTCCTGGGTGGAGAAGATGTTGCAGGAGCACCACCTGACCTCCGCGCCGAGAGCGGTTAGGGTTTCGATGAGGACGGCGGTTTGGATCGTCATGTGGAGAGATCCGGTGATTCTAGCTCCTTTCAATGGCTGCGAAGGTCCGAATTCGGTGACGCAGGAGACGAGACCGGGCATTTCGACCTCGGCGAGCTCGATCTCGAGACGACCGAAATCGGCCTGAGACATGTCCTTGACCTTGTATTCACGGCCACTAGACGTCTTCTCCACAAGCAACGCCATTGCTAGGGAAATTTGAATTTCTTGTTTTCCGATCTGTGAGAATGTGAGAGAGGGAGGTGGAGTGTGGAAGTGTGCGAGGAGAAACGAAAGGTAGCGAGTGATGTTAAATAGATAAAAGCGGGAGATGAGATGGACGGCTGAGATTTGTTGTGGAGAGTTTGGTGGATCTGGTGAAGGAATTAGACTTTCCATCTTTTTTTAGATTTCCGAAAAAGGTGGCAATTCTGTTTTCGATTTCACTTATGATTAAAAAATAATTATTAATAATATAATGGTCAATTATGTCCCATAAATAAGTATTTTTTTAGAAAAAAAAAATTGTTCACGAAATTTTTTTCACAAATCAATATAAAAATTTATTGTATTTTGTTTTTTTTTTTAATGTTTGAATTTTGCCAATTGATTTTTTATATATTAAACTATTTTGAAAATAATAATAAAATATATTGTTTTGAAAAAATAAAAAATTAATCAATTTCTTAATATGTGTGTGTAATCCTAAAAGGCTTATTAGGAGAACATATAAAATATTTTTTTTCTGTTTTTAGATCAAATATCATTTTAGAATTTTTTTTATTATTTCATATTAAGTATTATTTGATTTAATGTATAAAAATTAAATAAAATTCCTGTTTTGACCAATAAAAATGTGGACTTTTATATGAAAAATTGGTATTGGTGATTTTAGTTTAAACATAATCATTTCTTTGAGAATAAACCAACAAGGTGCAATTTACAATATTTTGTTATTTATCTTTTCAGTCCTGATTAGATTAGAAAAGCGAAACTTTGGCTCTAATTTACTGGATTTTCGTTTTTTTCCAGCAACTATTTAAATATTTAAAAAGAAAAAAATGTTTTTGGAGATGGAAGCTGATCTAATCAGCATTTCCCTTCTAAAATTTAATGAATTTTCTATTTTTGAATCTAAAAATGACGATAAATCTTTAATAGATAATTGTTATTGAATGAAAATATGTACAAATATTAAACTATATGTTGCATGATTAGTTAAATCGCGATAAATATGTCACAATTTGCCAGAAATTGATTTAATTTTTGGTGTAGGGAAAGCATACCAGATATTGTAGTTTGTTAATTCAATGAATACCAATCATAAAATCTTTTCAAAGATTAGTTCGTCAAAAATTGTAAATGATAGAAATATTGTTAAATATAAACTAAATAATTCGTCAAAATTGTTAATTATCGATTCAATATGAGTTATCTTTTTAATAAACTATGTCTCAAAATTTACCGACAAACTAGAAATTCTAATTTTTCTTTAACTCCAAAATCTTGTCAAACGAAAATAATTCAAAAACATGGTTGCATCAATATTTTTATTTTTTTGGAAACGAAGGTTGACAATTTTCAGCATGGATATCATGGTAATCAACGAGCAATGAGCAATAGTTAACTACAGACGCTCAAATTATCATAGTGACTTTGTTGTAGGTGCTGCAAGGTATGTCTCAAAATTTACCGACAAACTAGAAATTCTAATTTTTCTGTAACTCCAAAATCTTGTCAAACGAAAATAATTCAAAAACATGGTTGTATCAATATTTTTATTTTTTGAAAACAAAGGTTGACAATTTTCAGCATGGATATCATGGTAATCAACGAGCAATAAGCAATGAGCAATAATTAATTACAGACGCTCAAATTATCATAGTGACTTTGTTGTAGGTGCTGCAAGGTTTTATGGAACATCCAATGCTTCTGTTCTCTTAGGCTATATCTAATTTTTAAGTAAATAAAAACAAATGCAAAAATGTTTGATCTTTTAAATTAAAAGTATTTGTAATCTCATTTGTTTTTATTTGTTACTGCTATTGGAAAATGGAAATGATAACGTTCTGTGGCGATTATGTGTCATGATATACATTATATATAACATAGACATGATTTCAATATGATATGGTAAAATTTGAGAACACTGAAATTTCTATGAATGATGATATACATTTTAAACTCATAGGATGGAAGTTCAAATGTTTGACAGTTATAATTGAGCCAAAATATTTTGAGCGTCGGTGCCATCAGCCATGAAATATCTGCACCGGTTATTGCGTCGGTGGATCTGATTTAAAACTTACAAACAAATGCAAAAATTAGGTAAACTCATTAAATACTCGATTTTGTGTTTGTTTGTGTGTGTGTTTCCTATATATTTGGAATATTTTAAGCAAGAAATGAGAGGTTGGAATTATGTGAGCGATGTCGGTTTGTTGCTTTGATATTTGTTCATCTGAAAACAAAGTGAGTTTTGTAATGAAGCTTTGATATTTTGAAGAGGGAGAGATTTGTATATTATTATTAGTTGATGTAACTCATGTAAGTATATGTCCTCAATAAACCTTCTAATCCACTTTAACCCACACTTGCAGGTACCTATTGATCAAAATTTTGTAGCTAATAGCTAACTAGCGTAGTTTTTCTGCTTTTGGTAGGACAATAGTTCAAATCTCTCATACTAAAGCACTTTTGTTATAAATTAACATGTTTATAGTAGTAAGAACAAAAATTCGCTTAGGAAAATCAACTCTTACCCTGAAGCGAAAAGGGTAAAGTAAAGAGACTATAAATAAAGTTTCAAACATTGTTGAACGTCACGATGTCGACACGACACATATGGTATTTATAATGAACACGCAGTATGAAGCTCCATAAGTGACATTCCAAATAAACTTTGGCACGTTGTGGTTCGGTGAGTGTACTAATAGTCCTCAATCTCAACTACCACATTCACAAAAGTTTCTTTTAAACGTGATTATACTCCACACAACTATACTTTTTAGAGTTTTTTTTTGCATTTACTATTCCTTTCTTTTTCTTGTTGAAATGTCTATTGTTCTTCCTTTTCATTTTTGTCATCGTATTGTCAAATTGTTCGCTGTTTAGTGCAGTACTTTTCTATATATGTTATCAAGTGTTTCAAACTGAGAGACTAGATATTTTGAAAGTATTGGATTTAAGAAGATGACAAAACAAAAATATAGAAAAAAATTCTCAAGAGGAAACCTAGCAAATTACCATTTACTCATGTGAACATTTCATTTTCTAACTTCAAAAAAAATATAACTTTTTGTGTCATCCTCAAATTTTCAGGACTCTGAAGCATTTGCACAAACTTAAGAGTCAATAACAAAACTAAAGACTTTTCTAAGATCAATAAGTCAAATATTTGTCTACAAGATTATTGTTGTTTTCCACAATCCTCTCAAGCTTGAAACATTCATTCTCCAAAGAAAAATTTAAACGTCATTACACTTACTTTTTTTGAGAATGCTTCTTCAATTTTCTTGTAAACGCAAACTCTCCAAACTTATGCCCAACTTTGCCTTCAGTGATCTTACAACGCACATGAGTTTTGCCATTGTAGATTCTCACCATCGAATCAACATACTCCGGTAGAATCGTCGACCTCCTAGACCAAATTTTCTTGCTCAACGCTGCGTTCTTCTTCTTCATCAAGAACGCATCAACGAACGGATCTTTCCACACAGATCGGCTCACCATCTTATTCCCGTTCTTCTCATCTTCTATCACACCCTCTTCCAAAGACAATGGCAAACTTGGCCATTCTTTTGCAGCGTCCACACGAATGTTAAACCCATTTAGCTCCTAAATTTAATCATCCAAGAACCAACAAAAAACGGAAAGTTTTAACAATACAAACACAACAATTCAATTTAATATGAGAAGATAAATAGCAAGACCGATGAGTCTCTTGGTAGGATTCGAACCTGTCCATCCATAGCTGAAATAGCAGATTTTGCAGAATCCTCATTGACGAAATTGACAAATCCGTAACCTCTAGACCTCCCAGTCGCTTTGTTTGTCATGACCATTGCTAAACAACCAAAGATACAACAAGATTTGTGTTTATGATTCATTACGTTAACCATAAACACACAAATGCTTAACAACATCAATCATTTACTGTATAAATAATGATCAAGAAAACTTAACCAAACACACACATCTACTATACAAAACAGTGATTTAGAAATATTGGCAAGATTCAGGGGTTACCTTCTGTGACTCCGTTAAAGCTAGAGAAAGCGTTTTTCAAGGACTGGTCGTCAGTTCCAGGTGATAGACCTAAGACCAAAATTTTAACAGTGACCAAAACATTTCACAACTTTGCAATAGCAATGAAATCAAAACCATCTGAGCAGGAATGTTATATACTTACCACCAATGTAAAGCTTTGTGGCCATGTAGCGGAGAGAACCAAGCATCGATGTCACTGGCACATTTCTGTTTTGGAGAACGCTTTGTTTCAAGTGACCGCCGAGTTTGTTGGAGAACGCCATTTTCAGATATCTGGAAACGATAAACACAGTATAAATATATCAACGAAACCATTACAAGTTCAATTTGACCTAGAGGGTTTTGAGGAGCTAGTTTTATGAATTGACAGAAACAAAAACAAACCACAAGACAATGAAGAGAGTCGAGCAAGAACTATTAAACTACCAAATCCATGAGATACGAATATATATTTGGTGTAGTCGAAATGTATCATCAATCCATGACCATTTGGTAAAGAAAAAATGATCGAATCAACGAAAATTCGCTTTGAAATCCAAAATTGACAGAATTCATATTGAAATGAAGTGGACGAGCCTCTAAGTGAGACGAAATTTGGAATTAGATCAAACAAGCTTGAAGCAGATGCAAGAGCAGAAACTATTCTTCCACTAAACTAATGAATCGAAACCCAAACCAAATACACAATCATTGTAACATCGATACATCACGTGATTTGATGATAGAGATATAAGAGGAGGGGTTTGTTCTTACACGATATCTCTGCAAACTTGATTGCTATCTTTACGAAATCGAAATCGATGTCTCTCGATACGATGAACCCAGAACACGAAATGGAGTAAATCCCAGAACTGCGAAGACGAAGAACCAAAACCTACGTCGTCGTTTCATGATATCCAAACGCCGTCGTTTTTGAGTAAAAAGCCCTAGTTATATTAAACTGTGTCGGTTAAATGAAGCCGCAAATATTTGGAGGGCTGGGCCGTTTTTAATGACTAGAATCCAAAAAGTTCGCAGTTTGGGCCTTGTTCCAAATTCGAAATAAATACAAAATTAAATTATACATCTTTGTTCAAATATATTTTTAAAATTTGATATTTGGTCCTAAATGTACAAAAATTTCTGCAACTCTATACATTTCATTATCAAAATGAAGTTTTAGTTCTAAACTTGTATCTCTTGTTCCGTTGTTTGAGTACTCTAAACGTATCACTTTTGAAAATAGTTTAGTTTCCTCCATTGAAAAAAACCACACAATCTTTTGAGTTGATATATAGTTTTACATTCAATTCAAAAAAAAAAAAAAAACGACACACTCTGATAATGAGAGAAATAAACGATTATTATCATTTTGTATAGAAAAATAATTCTTTCTTTGTTGCAACTTTAATTTGAGCTTTTAAAACGAGAATCAGTTTTTTGTGTGTCCTCTATGTTCCATTTTCTTTTCATTGAGGGATGATTTTCTGTAAAAGTAAAGTGGAATTTTAGTCGGAAGAATGTGATTCTTTAATGATTCATAGTTCATTGTATTGATAATACTATGGCATTTTCATAATTAATGAAGAGTCATTGTCTTGCCTTGGCACATGGGCAAGACTACATGGGGCAAGACTCTTGCCGCAAGAGACACATCCCATATTGCAATACTTTTCTTAATATTTCTTTCAATTCGTTTATAATTAAAATCTAAAATAATAAGAAACTTCTTTATGTATTTTTATGAACGTGCCTGAGCCAGACATATCAAATCAGTCTAACTCAATCCATATTTTTCTCAGAAATGAGGTTCGAAAATTCTTTGGCGATCACTTGGTGGAATAAATTTACTTACACAATTCAATATCACCTATGAATTGCATCACGATATCAGTACGTCTAGATTATTCCATGCATTGATTAGAATGGCCAAAAAAGCATGTCAATTTATATCAGACTGAGCAAATAATTGGGTCTAGAAGTGCCAGAAGCATATGTTGGTCCATATACGCAGCACTATATCCATGTTATTTTATGATTTTTTCAAAGCAAAATTCACGTAAACTGGTGTTCTATGGTTCATTTATTTATATATTTCTTAATAAAAAAGAATTGAATAGTCCATATATGTCATTATCTCATCATAATTTCCAATCTGCCGACATTTAAAAAAAATAAAAAATCTAAGGGCCACGTAATTTGATAATGAAGCATGGATGTAAGAATGTGGGATAATTAAACTAATAAAGACCCCAAAAATTCTAACTAGAAAAAAACGAAGAGAATGTGGGCTTCTATGTGAGATATCGAGTGACACCATCTATCTCGTTGCAGTATATAATTGGAGTTAGTTACTTCATGCCATCAGAATTAATGTTATTTAGTGTAACTCTTCAACATTTCTACTTACAAAGAACTACATACACAAGCTTAGCCATTTCCAAATATAATGTAGTGTTCCATGCATTATGCAACATCTCTAAGTCAATATTTTTGTTTTTTTTTCGGAATATTCTAATCATATTTCATCATATATTCTACTATCTGAAATAATTTGCTGAAAGAATGTGAAAGAAGGACTTTTTTTGTGGTAAAAGTGAAAGAAGTACTTCTTCCTGTTTTTAATAAATTGTCAAATAAAATTGATCTTTTACATCGACCAATACGATAAAACCAATAAGCATATGATCCCATTATACGTGTATATGATTGCATGAAGATAGTTACAAATTTGTCTACCAACAATAATTAAAGAGATGATTGAGAGAAAAAGAAAAGATGATAAGAAGTATATTCTCAACAAAGGAGAAAGAAACCTCTGCCGACAAAATAGAGAGATTTGTTTGAAGTGAAGAAGTAAGTGTAGTGTGAGTTTGTAAATGGTCTTTTCAACTTGCAAAAGGCCAATTATCGAGAGAATTGCTGATTGGTCAACAAAACCACTGTCCCTTTCAGTCCTGCTGAATTGGGAAACGGACTTTTGGCTAAGGTAAATCTCTCACTTTCCTGTTATTTTCGTATTGTATTTTTTTGTTGGTCGGCTACTACTTACAAAGGCAGACTATTTCATTGATGCTACAATTTTCTTGTATTTCTTGTTTGTTTGATAAACCACAACTCTTTTATTTCTCGTACGAACATGCACACTTTGCCAACATATGAAATCACCATCTTTGTGACAGAATCTTCTATGTTTTCACTGACAAGAGCGGCAAAACCGATCCATTTAATTTACTCTGATATTTAGCCTAATGAGATTATAGACTTTGACCTTAAACTTAAATTTCGTAAGCGAAGAAAATAAATTTAGCTTCATGTAGGTTGAGACAAATTAAATGATTGTTTTGTCCTCACTACACGTATACACTCTTTGAATTTGATTAGTGTAAACTATCGACTGAACTAGGTTTTAAGTTTGGTGGATCAGTAGTACTAGGAGTGTTTATGTATATAGAGAAAGAAAGAGGGATCTATAATATTCGAGGTCTTATTGTTCCTACATTATTCCTATGAAGATCATAGGATTCTATAATTAAGTATGGGAAAAAGAAAATACAAGTGGCCAGTACAAAATTTATTGCCACATTTAATGTACAACGTGATATAGCGTTAAGCCGTTAACTACAATGATCATTCGTTAAATTATTCTTGTTACAATGTCTTTATTTTATTCATCCATAACCAACTTGTACCTCTGGTATTGGTGTCAAATCTCTATTTCAAATTAAAAACACAAGCAAGCATAAATGTTCGACCCGAAGAAAAGGCAAGCATATAAAAATGATAAGTGGCAAATATATAGACGAAAATAACTACTTTTGATCACATTCCACATGCAAAAACCTTCGACCTAGCGGCAAATATTTGAGATAATTATGAAATTCATGTATCTATGTATGTGCATGTTATATCAATGCAAGATTAAGTTAAAGAAAAAAAGAAACTGGAATACTGGCAAGATGTTATAGAAAAATGTTATAGATCTCAATTCTCTGGTTCGTATTTCAATGTACGCGTATAGTATATTTGATCTAAAGAACAGTATCGAAGAAGAGGTAGGACCCGCTAGCCACTCATTGACTCAATCTTTGGCCATTTATCAACCATTTTGATGAGAAACCCATGTTCATTCTCTCGTTCTTTTTATTCTGTTCAGTTTACGAAAAAACAACTTGCATCGTTTCTGCGACTAATAAACGTGGACTTTTATCATCGAAGAAACTTTAAAATATACCATTTATGTTCCACGAAATTATTTCAGATCCAAGCCGGTCAAATCAAGTTGAAACGTGATGTTGGGAACTTTCTCAATAAACTAGTAAATTGTTATTTTTTTGTTTTGTTTTCTCATGAAGCATCTTACCTTTCATTAATAAACTTGTTTTCACGTAAGAGCATTTAGCGTACTCTTACATCACAGTGATCACACTAGCCATATACATCACAGAGATATGATTAATAATAGAGAAATTGACCTTTAACAACAAAAAAGAAGATCTAGAGAGATTGATTTAAACCTTGTCGTTAGCCATTTCCTATATTGGATGGTAAGTATCAGCGAGTGTTCGAAGGTTTCGAACTAGAGGTAGAGGAAAGATTGTGACTCATGACGTGAGCTTAGGGAGATAGATCGCATAGACTGATCAAGAACAACTAACTTACAACGAACTGTCATCTATATATCTTTTATCAGACTTGAAGGTCTCGAGGTAGGCAAGTAGCGGTAAGCCGGTAACTAGTAATTTGTTGATGTCAAAAATAATCGGAGAATCATACATAATACTTCGAACTTTTTTGTTCTCACATAAAAACATAAAGAATAGAATATGTATAATTCGTTGATTATGAGCGAATATTGTTCTTGGTACAAATAATCATTAGACTTATGTAAAAAAAAAAAAAAAAATCGTTGACTACCACATGGTAAATTACTTTAGCTGAATCTTGTAATTAATCTTCGTCTTTCACAAGGAAAACTATCATAAAGCATATTGATGATGCTATATAGACCAAAGTGGTATTTCTTTGGTTGATAAGAATCAAAAGGTTATCGTTTTTTTTTTTTTTTTTTTTTTTCCTGACAATCTATTATCACATGTAGTATTAAACTCTTCTAACGGTATATACTAAATAATCAATGAACATAAAAGTCACATGAGCATATAATATATCCAATTGGCTGATTGCCTTTTGGCTTTTGCACCCAACTGGTAAAAAGAGAAATATGTTTTATCCTTTTTCCCTGGCTGCAGAAATATGTTTATCTTCTTTAGTAATATCGCATTATTCGATACTTTTTACTTTAATAATTTCCTTGTGAAACTATGATTGGACACTGAAATTCCAAAAACTTTACAGCTTTCTTCCTGACAACGCAATACCGTTTACTGCAATGTCAGCTCTATGCCTCTATATCGTAGTATATCCCATAATGACATACAAAAAAATTGATATCTTGGTTACAAATATTTATTTCGAATTTAATCTATTATAAAAACTGAAATTCCTTTCTTTCCAATCCGCATTCTATTGAACACCTACGAGTTCTCTAAACTTTGAATTAAAACTATACAAAAAATGATCCAAATCATTGACACTATATAACCGTACCGACAAAGAGTTCCGTATTCAACTAAAAAGCCTTCGAGAGAGGGACAAAGATGAGGGACTTCGCGGCTTTACCAAATCGCTTTCAAATGTATTATGTCACTAATTTCAATTTTATCTCTCGTAATTAGGTTGAGACCACCGACACTTTTGTTTTCTCCGTATGTCAACAAAAATGACCTCTTCCACCGAATCTTCTCAATTTCGATTAGTACATTGCTAGCTTAAAGTATTGCCTAACTACAGTATGTCGTCTTTAAAGGGTTAAAACTAAAAGCATGCTTCAAAATAGAAGTGGAAATAAATTGTCGGTGGTCTCAGCAAAATTAAAAAAAAAAAAAAAAAAAAAAAAACAGTACGTTCCAATTGCATTTTAGGATGACTTCACGAACATTACTAAGCAGTTTCTACAAATTTAGTGGTAATTTCTTTTTTTTTTCTTCTGAATAATCTATTTTATAAACACTAATTTGAAGGTCTTTTGTTACAAATTGTGTCATAAAAGTTTTCTTATGACCACCAACGTCTCACTTCCCACCCCGCCAACCACCGTAGTGGGATGGCCTCAAAAGCTATACTACCTCAGGGCAGCCTAGCATGTCCGAAACGGTTACGTTTACAAAAAAAAATATTATCTCAAAACTGTTGCAACGTTAGTGATAAAAAAATTTTACTACCGAAGTTTCAACTTTCAACTTCATGTTTCATTTTGAAATTCAGCCAACACTTAGAATAATTGTCTTGCACCCACTCAAAATATAACCATTTGTCTTGGACCAATAGGCCTTCATAACTTTATTGAAGATGGTGGTCGTGAAATATCCTCGTGTATATAAGCAAAATTTATGTGCTATATGTATGTTCTTTCAAAAAGATCCCATGAACAAGTATAGATTCTATAATAGATTGTGGGACTTCAATAAATTAGATTTAAGCTAATCTTGAAGAATACATAATTCTGGAAGGTTTGTCGGTGCATGCCCTTGTATATCACACTCTTACATGTTACAAAGTACATACCGGTCTTTAACACCAACGAAACTATTAATAATTAACAACTAAATTGATAAGAAAATACTTTATGGTTATGGACGGTCTCTGAAGTAATTGAAAACTAAGCACGAGCTTCTGCAATAAATGAAGAACATGGTGAATCCTGAATCGTCTACGAAGGCAATGAACGAGGTTTAGGGATCACGTTTAGAGACCAATGCAAAACGAAGTCAATTCTAATTAAAAAAATATGTTACTTAACAATAACTGTAGAATCTCGAGAGATATACATATTCCCACAGGTTTTTCAATTTGACAGCTTACAATTCTGAATCCTCGACCCAAAGAAAAACTTTATTAATACAGCATAAAATACATTGTTGATGCTATTTGCGATGACTTGCTATCTAATTTATCAACAAACATATATGTCTTGTAGTTAGAGAGAACATTAACACCCACAAATTACACGGAAAATTAAGAAAAAAGAAACAATGAGGGACCATGCAATAGCGCACTCCAATGAAAGAAGTTTCGAATTAGACATTTTTTAAAGCAATGACAATGATAATCTGACATGATTACCATTAAGAGACAACATGTTTCGACGCTCTTAAATTCTTCTTCTGATTTTGAAATTTTACCTAATGTTCTTTTAATCCAACTTGTCACTCTTTTTTTTTTTTTTTTTTCTATAATATCACATGTTAAAACTTTCATTTCTTCTTAAATCCGGTGATATCAGTTAGAAGCTTAAACCATATTGTCCTGATTTTTTTTATCTTGATATTTCTTTTTTCAATTCGATATAGATTTCTACGTCTACAGTACATAGTACATTGTGTTGTAATCTTGCAGTAGAAATGCTCAAAAGATTATTCAAATACAGTTGCAGTAGAATATTGGTTAAAGAAAAGGTCTGTTCTGGCTCTACTGTTTTTGTAGTAATTTTAGAAATAAAGCGCAGAATGTAAATGTAAAGATGAAACTTAATTTGTCTTTGTACTTTTAGATTATGATCATTAACTTATTCGCTGTTTTGTCGATTTGTTGAACGTTCTTTCCCATATATATTTCCAAAAATATCGAATTTCCAGGTTTATTATATGCTAATTATAGCCTTTGCTGGGGATGAATATTGATGTATTCAACCTTAAAACAATGCTCTAGCTAGATTCACTACAAATATATCCCAAATCACGAATAAGTAGTTCATCAGCATTTTTTTCTCTTCAAAATATTGAATCACCACCGATCATATAATGCTACTGCGATGATTCATGGTGATCTGATCGATCAGATCTCTAATAATAATTTTCGATATTATTATTATTATTTTTTTTTTTGCGTAGAAATTAAGCATCTTTTGAAAACGCGTAGACTATCATCAACAAGTCGGCTATTCTACTATTTTATAGTTTTTGTCCTAAAAAGGTTTCAGTTATTGTATACCTGTACTGTTCTTATTATTAAGTTGAGTTGAATCCACCACAATATCACAAAATATCATTATAAAAACATAATGTGGGGAGAAAGAAAAAATAAAAGTCAGCAAATAAAATTGGTCCAAATGTTCACACATAAGAACATGTGGAGGGAGTCACATGGAGGAGGCTCTCTCCTGTCATTTCATCGCACCACAAGACAAACCGAAGTGGGGTTGTCTTCTTGCTTAACCAATGTGTAAAAATTCCTTAATTAATTCTGAATCATTTGATTCTACACTTTGACAACGAAGGCCCATACATTTCTTAATCACTATACTATTCTTTAACAGAATAAAACACATTAAAAGTATGCACACTTTACTGTTAAGTCATAGAACAGTCGTATATGTATTTTATTCTGTTAAAGAAATTTGTATGAAGATGATGGTAAAAAGAACATCTCTAACTATGAAGATTACGACAAATGTGACATCTAGATCTTGACTATAAAGAAACCAAGTAAAACACTCAAAGACTTTTAAAAAGACACCAAAAGTAAACTCTGTCAAGAAGCTTCCCAAATACACACTAATGGAGAAAAATCTAACTCTCTAATTTGTCAGAGGCCTAACTTGTGAGATCTCTCTCTTAAATATTTCCGGTAAAACCACACTCGTGTAAAAATACCGACATCACCATCACAGTTATAAAACAGTACTTTCTTTTTCAAACGTACTTTATAAATTAACTCGGTTGATTTATTTATATTATATTGAGCATATCTCTATCTTTAGAAGAAAAAAAAATTTGTTTCCGACCAGCAAATATTTTTCTCTCTTTCTCTTTATAATCATCAGATCGTTTCTTCACTTGGCTTTCAGGGCTCGAAGACAACTCTCAAACCCTCTCAAAATCCCAAAATAAAAAGAGAATTATCATTTTCCGAATTTATACATTTTTCGAGCCCATTCGATTGAAAGAGAAGAATCAAGTGAGTTTCTATATTTCAGTGACAAATAAATCCAGTGAGTTTATATAAAAAAGACGAAAATGCCACTGTCGGCGACGGCGGATACAAGCAAGACGGTGAAGCTGGAGAGGTACAACAGCTACCTCCGGAAGATTCACAGCACCAAAGTCCTCAACGCTTCTTCTAAAGTCCTCTTCCGAGCAACACTCCTCGTCGCTCTTGTCCTCGTCCTCCTCTTCGCTCTCAACTACCCTCCACTCTCCGACAGCCGCGCCGCCGCAGCACACCACCTCCACCGTCGCAGCTTCTTATCAACCGGAATCTTCTCTTCCTCCTCCTCCTCCTCCTCCTCCTCCTCCTCCTCTTCTCTCACCCAAGGAGCCGCTTGGGAGAAGCGCGTGAGACAGTCCTCAACCGCAAAACGACCACACGGCCTCTCCGTCCTCGTCACCGGAGCCGCCGGCTTCGTCGGATCCCACTGCTCCATCGCGCTGAGAAAACGCGGCGACGGAGTCTTAGGATTCGACAACTTCAACGACTACTACGATCCTTCCCTCAAGAGAGCAAGACAACAGCTTCTCGAGAAGCAACAAGTGTTCATCGTCGAAGGAGATCTCAACGACGGACCTCTCCTACGTAAGCTCTTCGACGTCGTCCCGTTCACTCACATCCTTCACTTAGCAGCTCAAGCCGGAGTCCGTTACGCCATGAAAAACCCTCAGTCTTACATCAGCTCCAACATCGCTGGATTCGTCAACCTCCTCGAAGTAGCGAAAGCCGCGAATCCTCAGCCGGCGATTGTTTGGGCTTCGTCGAGCTCCGTTTACGGACTCAACACCGAGAATCCGTTCTCCGAGGAGCACAGAACGGATCAGCCGGCGAGTCTCTACGCGGCGACGAAGAAAGCAGGAGAAGAGATCGCTCACACTTACAACCACATTTACGGTTTATCCTTAACCGGACTCCGGTTTTTCACGGTTTACGGTCCTTGGGGAAGACCGGACATGGCTTACTTCTTCTTCACTAAAGACATCCTCCACGGCAAGTCCATCGACCTCTACAGGACGCAAGACAACAAAGAAGTGGCGCGTGACTTCACCTACATCGACGACATCGTCAAAGGGTGTGTCGGTGCGTTGGACACGGCGGAGAAAAGCACCGGAAGCGGCGGGAAGAAGCGAGGACCGGCGCAGTTACGGGTTTACAACCTCGGGAACACGTCTCCGGTTCCGGTCGGGAGATTGGTTTCGATTCTTGAAGGTTTGTTGGGGACGAAAGCGAGGAAACATCTGATCAAAATGCCGAGAAACGGTGACGTGCCTTACACGCATGCGAATGTGAGCTTAGCGTATAGAGACTTTGGGTATAAACCGACGACGGATCTCGCGGCGGGGCTGAGGAAGTTCGTCAAGTGGTACGTTGGTTATTACGGGGTACAGCCGAGGGTAAAAAAGGAAAATTCTCATGCCGAAGATTCCGCTTAAGATCTTTCTTCTTCACTCTCTCTCTTTCTCTTTCTGCTTCATCATCATCATCACATGCTTGTTTCTTTTTTACAAAAACCAAAAAAAAAAGATTATTTACAGGGACAGATATCTGTTTTTATTTTAAAATGCCAACAAAAGAAATCATAAATGTTTTTTCGTGGTGGTCCTTTTTTTAGGGGGATCAAAGTTGTGGGAATTAAATTGTTACAGCTGTATGTTGTAATAGAAAGATACTATATAGACAAAAAAGTGAAAAGGAGTAGATTTGAAAAATATTATGTGGGTTTGTTATGTAATAAATGATTTTGGTTATGGTCTTGCTGGAAAGTGTTTAGAGCAGATCTTAGCCGTTGGATTTTTTTTGTAACCAAAGAATGAAACATGTGATCTATTACCAATTGTAACATAAGTGTATTTAATTCTCCTTTTATTATCTGATCTCTTTAACTTATTTTCATTTACCTTTTCAATATAATGTTTTGCAAAAATAGGATCTGAATTCGACAAAATATAAGTTAGAAACTGTAATAATCCGAAACGCAATAAACCAAAAAGAGAAAGGAAGAGTACCATTGGCATTGAAATGATTGGACCCCATTTTTGTTATCGTTATCCTCTTTTACTTTTTGTCTACAAATTTTTGATAAATACATTACATTGGGTCTAAATGGTAACCGCTGAATATTGCTGAAAGCGGAATCTAACTGAATAAAATGAAGACTTTTTGCAGAATCTGGCTGAATAGTTTGTAATATGAATGGTAACAGCTGAATGTTATGAATGCGGAATAAATGTATAACACATTATTTATATAACAGAATTACAAAATATTTACCTAATTAAATTAATTAAATAAATATAAAAACATATACTCTAAAATAACTAAATAATAGTTAAATTAAACAAATAACTTCATATATATATGATTTAGGAATCATGATTTATAATTTGTTTTGTCAAATATCAAACATCAAAGTTAAAAAACGTTATTTTCAAAAATATTACCAATTCATTAATCAAAACCCTCTTAAATATTTTGCTTAATTTCTGCTCGTATTATGCATATAAGCACCATATAGTGTTCTCTCTTATTTCTGTAGAAATTTTATGTGGTATAATAATTTAAAAATCTATATCAAATCTTATTATAATTAAGTTGATTGTAGACTAAAATAAGCATTATTAATATACTGTTCTACACTTTTTTTTTATCTGAATTTGTAAATTTATTTTTTGGATCCATAATTTTATTATTAAGATTCAGTCCCAAACACTCCAAAAATCTGAGTATTCGAAAATGTCGGATTGGATACTGGATTATTGATTAATTGTCCCATTCTTAGAATTTATTTTTTGTGACATTCCACTTGAGAGAAAAAAAATACCTAAATATTCATTCATTTAAATTTGTTAATAATTTAAATTATAAGAAAAGTTTTAGTTATAAATTTTTAGTTGTATTTTTTATTTTGTAACATAAATTAAATTCATTAAAGTGAAATAACAATATATAAAGAATAAAATAATCTTTTTGAAAAGAAAAAAAAAATGACTATTCTTTTCCATTCTTCAACATTCTTCACAATTCTTCAATGCCTATTCTTCAACATTCCTCAATGCCAACTGGTGTATTTAAAAAAGTATTCCTCAACATTCCTCACAATTCTTCAAGTTTCATGTTACCACTTAGGACCAATATAAGCTTGGGCAGTTATTGAAATATTCTCTTTCTAAAGGTATACGATGCCTCGCAAAGAAAAAAGAAAAAAAAAAAGGCAAGCAAAGAGACATTTATGTTTGTACTTCTTTCAGTTCTTTGAAACATTAACTAAATAACATCAAGGTGAAAAGATACACATAGAAATTAGAAAATGTGAGGTTCAGAATTTGAGGATATGTAGGACTTACAAGTTACAAGAAACACATCACGTACGAAGCAACAAGTTTGTAGACATATTTCTAAAAACATTGATTTTGTGTAAGAGTGGACGTGCCGGAGTGGTTATCGGGCATGACTAGAAATCATGTGGGCTTTGCCCGCGCAGGTTCGAATCCTGCCGTTCACGTTTTTAAATATTTTCACCAAAAAAAAGAGAGCTCATGTTTTATTACTTTTTAAGAGAAATAAATCATCACATCGTCAAAGTGCTATTACAAATTTAGAGAGCTTGAAGATGAAGAATAATGATTAAAAGTTTCATTAAATTTGGAGCATAAGAGCACACAAGTGGTAAACAAGGTTTCGTTAGAAGGTTGTCCGAGATAAACTTTCATCAAAGATGTAATAATGTAAGCTACGTTGCGAAAAGGCTTCCTCTCACGTCGTCGAGAATATCAAGAATCATCCAATGATCAGAGTTTAAGTAGTAGATTCTGAAACTATCAGAAAAGGGGCTTGTACAAGAAACCCTAAATCTTAAGACTTTGTGGGTTCTGCTGCTGCTCATGTCGTATCCTAGGGCATACACATATATAAATCCAACATGTCGTCTTTATGTGCGGAACCGATCCACCGGGTTTGACTCCAATACGGGTTAAAACGACGAGCCTAGGTTTGTTTTTCAAGATGCATAACAATGATCCCTCGCAATGAAAGACTTGGCAATTGGCATATATCACCGAATAGGTAGGGATCGAGTTTAGCTTCACGCTTTATCATACTTGATTCAACCTTGCTCCGATTGATTCTCGTCAAGTAAACGGTATAGTCAAGCATCATGGCCATCGTAAACTCCTTCTTTGCTTGACCAGTTGCAAAGAAGCTGTTTTTGGATAAAGTTGTCCACTCTTTGCAAGTTGATACGACTTAATTTTCTCATCAGAGATGTCAAAGGGGTTTTAGAGAGGACCTCCTTCGCTAAATACTTTGAGAGACTGGATATCTTCTTCTTCATCTAACGATGATCTATTTAACGCAAACCAGTTAATTACTTTTCCTCAATCTATCTGTGATTACAGATTTTTCTTCCGCCTCTCGATATATATAACAATTGAAGACGTAGTAAAAGGAGATAACAACAATTGGGACTTCCATGCTCATATTTCTACTAAGCTAAGGAATATTTTGTTTGAAACAAAAATAATAAATCAATTGATGATATATACGTACAATATATCGATCGATGGATCATCTTAATTTGTCATATCGTCAAATTTAACCAACTAGAAAAGAAAAAAATATATCGATGAAAATGTTTATCCGGGCCAAGCTAGTATTATACTGTATTTGGCCAAAACCATCAAGAAGAAAAGAGTTTGAAAAAAAAAAACTGATATAACGACCAAATATTAAAAAGTTTGATTATATATTTGGACTAGTAATTCTTTGACCAAAAAAAAAAAAAAAATTGGACTACTTATTAAGTTGCATTAAACTTGGAGCATAATAAGAGCACACAAGTGGACAAAGTTTGTGAGCAGATTCTCCAAGATCAACTTTCTTCAAAGATCCATCCGCTCCAACGATGTAAGCTACGTTGCGAGGAGGCTTTTTGTCGTCGATTGTGTCTCTATGAAAAATCACAGCGACTTTCTTCTCCTCGTCAATGAAGAAACTCACACCTGTAGACGTAAACCCTAACGGACTGGGAATGAGTTCTCTCATACTCACTCGTAAGAACACTTTGCTTTGCTACGACACTGCGTCGGGCTCATAACCCAAATCTCCACCTTGAAGTGACCCCACGGCTCAAACAAAACCGCGAGCTGCTCTCCTCTGACGATAGATAGAGTCACTGGCAGAGGCAAACGCGGTCCAAATCTCTCTCTTGTGAAATCAAAACAGACCAAGAAACTATATTCCAATTCTGCTGTATCTTTTAAAATCCTCTCGGAAGCAAACCAGTAGGTGTTTCCCTTGAGAGTCACGCCGCGGCGATACAACTGCACATTCCAGTCCGGAGTGACGTCAAGAACCCTCCACGAATCAGAGCTAAAGTCGTATATTTTGAACACCTCAAGGCTATCATAATTATAATCCCAAAATCTTAAAATTTTGTGGGAGTTTCTCTTCTTGTCGTATCCTAGGGCATACAAACAGTGATCCTATATCTATATGTGTGGACTCGACCCAACGGGTTTGACCCCAATAAGGGTTAAAAACGACGAGCTTATTGTCGTCTTTCGAGATGCATAACAATGAACCGTCGCAATGAAAGACTTGGCGTACCTCATCGATTAGGTCTGAATCGAGTTTAGCTTCATGCTTTATTATACATGATTCAACGTTGCTTGAAAATTTTATTCTCGTTAAGTAAACCCTAAAATCAATTATCATGACCATCGTAAACTCGTCCTTTGCTTCTGCTACTTTGGCTGCTTGACCAATGTGCTTCTTTGCAAAGAAGCTGTTTTTGGATAGAGTGTTCCACTTCTTGCAAGTTGAACGGACTTTTCTCACAGATGTCAATGGAGTCTTAGAGAGGACCTCCTCCGCTAAATCCCTTGGAAGATTGTTTATCTTCTTCATCTAACGAGGATCGATCTAACGCAAACTAGTTAGTCTTTTCTTCCGGTTCTCGGTATTTAGGGTAGACTGAAGGAAAAGGGGATCGAGATCAAGGTCGATGACTACTTAAAAGCCCAAAATTACGATCCTACTTGGGCCGAGAGACACGGTTTAAATACCCCAACTATTTATTTCTATCTACTATATAAAAGGAAGAATATGTTTGAAATAAAATTTTATTTGATGATATGATTACATACATTACCACTAGAAATCTATTTTAACACTATTTTTTTTAAGTGTGAAGGTTTGGAAGAAATTGCTTTGAGTTTTTAATGTTACTGATGAATAACGTAGGTAATCGATGGATTCTTGATCGAAGTCCACAAAACTATTTACTTAATCGATGGATTCTTGGTCAAACATCTCCACGTACTCCAAAGATTATTATGGACTATAGAAGGAAAAGATACCTCGCTAAAAGTAGTTTTGTTCAGTTTGAGAACCATGCAGATTCATTTTCATATTCATATTCGGTAGATCATCTTAGTCCCATCGTCAAAATTAACCAACTAGAAAAGAAAAAAAAAATCGATGGAAAATGTTTATCCGAGCAGAGTGGAGGGGATAATCTATCGCCGATGCCTAAGTGGCAATGTATACATCTGGCTCATCTTCACCTATTCGTGATGCACGTCGTCTCTATTGTACATAACAACTAATTAAGGGGTGGATTTACGTACGTCAACGTGGAGGCAGCTGCTACCAACAAAAATATAAATTCCCTTGCTAATTACTTAAAATCATTTATGTTACACTTCAGGTGTTACACTTAAGTTTGTTTTCTTAAAATTTAGTATGTTAATCTGGAATATTTTTTTTGGGGTACATTTTGAGGTATTTTTCTATATTGTATTTAACATATAGGTTCGATATCTGGGGAAAATATATATACGGGAAGTCGGTAGGAAATTAGGAATGTTCAACAACAAAACAAAATCAGTAGAGCTAAAACAGATCCTTTTCTTTAACCAGTATTCTCCTGTAGTCATAGTTGAATTATCTTCTTAACAAAAAAAAAAATATCTAGCTCAAGATTAACACACATGCATGCACTTTCTACTTTAGACGTAGAAATCTGTATTGTTAGTAAGCTTTTAGTCAAAAGCAAAATCTACATTGAAGTGGAAACAAAATATCAAAGATAAAACAATCCTTTCAGTATGGTTTGCTTTGACTTGATATCCCCGAATTTAAGAAGAAAACAAAATAATTTCGATTTAAGGTTGTTACATGTAGAAGAAAAAAGAGACCGGAAAAGAAAGAGTGACAAGTTGAAAAAAAAAAATCAGGTAAAATTTCAAAATCAGATGAAGAATTTGCACATGTAAAAGCTAAGAGTGGGGGAATATATGTATGGTTTCTTAATGCTTAATCATATCATCAGATAATCATTGTCATTGCTTTGTATAGGTCCCTCATTGTAACTTCTTTTAATATTTTTTGTGTTCAGTTGGTTGGGTGTTAATGTTCTCTTTAATTACCAGACCCATATGTTTGATGATATATTTCATGATGTATTATTATTATTTTTGGCTCGAGGAGTCAAACTGAAAAACCTGTGGGACTAATCTCTCGAGTTCTACAATTGTTGTTAATTAGCAACATATTTTTGTTTAAGTAAAAGTTAAAATTTTCTTCGTTTTGCATTGAAACAGATTTGACATAGATGTTCAGATTATAAGACTAACTGGGGCGGATGGCCGTGATAGGCTGCCCTCAGATACTATAGCTTTTGCGGTCATCCTACTACGGTGGCCGGCGGGGTGAGATAACAGCGAGGCGTCGGTGGTCCGACTATAAAACAGATGATTTATTTCCTTTTCTTTCAAACTTATTTTTTTAAGATGGAAATGATGTCGTACAAACATTTAAGTTCATTGCAAAACTGCAAGTTGGGGCGAATTTTGTGACACAATTTGCAAAAAAAGCTTTTAAACTAATTTGAAATTCATTTGTAACTCATACACACATGACACGTTATCAGAATTGAACATAGATTAAGACATAACACTAACACTAATACTCTCTCCGTTTCACGGTTTCACAGTGTCGTTTAAGATTTTCTTTTCCCGCACATATTACAATTTTTATTACATCTCTTATGCATGAATACATTATATTGTTTTATCTTTCTTATTAACAGATTAAAATAAGAACTTTAAAACGGGAAATTTGTTTTAAACTTGACATTGATAATCTAAATCGACATTTTTTTTTTCTTTCAAAAATCATAAAAGATACGTTTTAATGTTTCTGAAGTCATCTGAAAATGCAATTGGAACGTACTTCATTGCAATGTCTTTCCAATTATTATTTTGAAGTGTTCTTTTAGTTTTAACCCTATTAAGAAATTACATAGTTGTTCAAAAACAAAAAAAAAAGGCTATATTTGAAAAATATAGAGTTGAAAGGCAACAGCGGAGGACCAATCTAGTGGGTGGTGGATGATTAAAATAACGACGTTGTAACTAAGATCATTATGGAATGAGTTGTACTTTAGGTCGTATTGAACATTATGCTGCAATAAATTTGGTACTCGTAAGTCATAACCCTTTATCAAAAAATTTATTTGTACTCGTCACTTCTAGAATCCTATTATCCGCAACGGACTAATGTAAGAACACGAATATGTTGTTGAGATCAGACACGTACTGTACTATGATGGAACAGTAAGTTTTGTTTTTTGATAAAGTTTGGAATCGTTTACAATGGGACTTTTTTTGCCGTTGACACAAATTATTCCAAAGGTTTTGGATAGATTTAGAAACTGTTGAGTGACAGAGACGAAGAATAATTCTTGGAGCTCTAATCATGATTATGTATATTCTTGTAAAATATTACTCCATCTACAAGTTTTCTAGTAAAGTGTGAGGTCGTAGACAATACACAATTAACCAAATCACGTTACTTTGCTTGTGTGCTCATAACTTCATACTTACACTAGGTACTCGAATTACGGATTTCTTTGACACTATGTTGTACGTGGCCAGATGATATGCCACTTGGATTACGAAGTCGGAAAACATAAAAATAATTAAAAAAAAAAATAATTTAGTCTTATTATTATTTTGTTGTGCATCCTGAATTACTACATATATATACTCATTTCCCAAGATTATAAATCTACTTCTACATTCTTAACTATCATGAACCCGTTGTTTTTGTAATAAACTCATCAAATGAAAAAAATATAAATCACTATATATTACACATAAAATGAAGCAAAATATTCAGTTTAGACTCTTGTATTAAAAGGACGATTTTACAATTTGCTTGTTATTTTGTTAATATAAATCCTCTTGTTTCTAAAACTTAGAGAGGCACGAACATAATAAATATGAAATGGTCTAACAAAAAAAAGACTTTGGTAACTTGTATATGCAGAACACATATATATATCCGCAAGAAGTATGTGTTTAATACATACTAGACCATGTCACCATACACATTCATTTTGATATTCGATAGATCGTCTTATTCCCATCGTCAAAATTCACCAACTAGAAAAAGAAAAAGAGATGTAAGGTAATATCCATTCCTATATATATATATATATATATACTTATGTAGACTAGACCGACAGAACATTCACAAATCATCTTTGCCAATATTTCTTGCATATTTATTTTCTTGTCTCATACGACATGCCTCGACTTCAAGAAGAGGGAATCGGTCCAGTTCACGGCTTCCGGTTATCGACCATAAGTTCAACCAGGCCGACTGAGACTGGCACGACCCACGAACCCACCGGTTTAGACCTAGCCATGAAACTCCACTACCTAAAGGCGGTTTATATTTACTCCGCGGAGATGGCATGTGACTTGACCGTGGTGCACGTGAAAGATCTCTTCTTCACCGTGTTGAACGAGATCCCATGGGTCAACGGTAGGTTCAAGAGGCACGACTCGGGACGTCCGTACATCAAGTGCAACGACAGTGGCACGCGTTTTGTGGAAAGTCATTGTGATCTCACAGTGGAGGAGTGGCTACGTGTAACGGACCGGTCCGTTGATGAGTCTTTGGTTTATCATCAACCAGTTGGACCGGACTTGGCCTTCTCTCCATTGATCTATATTCAGGTATGTATATAACTATAGATCTACTTACTTACGTACAATACATAAACGTGCATCTTCTCGAGAAAAATAAAAATAACAAATTAAACACAATGATGTTTTTAGCTCATATAAAATAAAAGACCAAAACAATTGTAAATCACCTGAAACACCTGACCATTGTCAATTTCACTACCGTTTACAAGTGATCAGTATGGTTTTAGATCCATTAATCAAGTCCAATCATACAAAAACTAAGAATAAGCAGATAAAGGATTAGATAAACGTCAAAACGGGATGGCCTTTTGCGAATGACCATCAAGACCGGTTCTAGACAAAATAAAATAAAATAATGAACAATGATTATTGATTAAGCATTCGAATCCTACCAACAGGCAACGGTGGACCTCAACTATTACTATTAGCCACTTGATTACTCGATCACTTTCAGCCCAAGACCTAGCTTACCAAAGAAAGAAATTTTGAAATGTATGTTTCAAAACAAGATTCAGTATAAACTTAAAAAAAAAAAAAAAAAACATATTTTAGGATCAAGAAAAATAGTTAAAATAGTTATTTAGCATAGTTAATTGGTAGAGTTTGAAAGTGTAATATACCAAACTCCACCAATTAAACATGCTAAATAACAGTTTTAACTATACAGTTAGTTGACGTAGATGACCCGGTTTGGCCTGAAAGTGTATCCATACAGTTAGTTTATCACTTTGCTTAGTAAATCATTTGCTTTGGCATGAAAGTGTAACCATACAGTTAGTTTAATTTCAGGCCAAAGCAAAGTAAAATAAACATTAAATACATCGGTCTAATCCGGTTTTGTTGACGTAGATGACCCGGTTTAGCTGCGGTGGATTAGCAATAGGCCTGAGCTGGGCCCATATAATGGGAGATCCATTCTCTCTTTCTCATTTCGTCAACTTAGGCACTCGGGCCTTCGCAGATGAGGAAATCTACTCCCCAAAACCCTCTGATTTGGATAGAGGTTTTCTAAACCCGAATTCAATGTCCAAAAACCCGGTTTCAATCAAACAGGTTGAACCGGTCGGAGACCTCTGGGTAACGCCGAGTAACAGCAAAATGACAACGTACTCCTTCAATGTAACGGTCAACGAGATACGATCACACTCTCCGGCGAACGGAGACGAATTCGAGATTCTCAGTGGGATCATATGGAAATGCGTAGCGAAGGCGAGAGCAGAATCGGAGCCGTTTACGATTACGATCATCAGATCGGATCATAACGGAATGAAACCTAGAGCTGTGAGAAACAGTCAGATGATTGGCTCCGTCCAGGTCGATTTTTCCGTCGCCGGAGCGAGTTTGGAGGAGATTGTGAAATCTATCGGAGAAGCGACCGATGAGAGGTTTTCGATCGACGAGATTGGGGAGAGTGAAGATGGTGTTTTGGATTTCGTCGTCTACGGAGCGAAACTGACGTTTGTGGATCTAAGCGGAGTTGATTTCTACAAGGCGAAAATAAGAGAGAAGTCGCCGGTGTCGGTTTACTGTAATGTTCAGGGGATAGGAGACGACGGAGCTGTGGTGGTTTTGCCGGCCGCGGAGAGGGAGGAGATGGTTGTGACTGTTACGTTTCCGGTGGATGAGATGGAGAAGGTGAAATGTGAATTGAAGAAGTGTGGTTTGGTTTATTCACGCCGTTAGTTAACGGAGAATGAATTAAACGGAAAGTGATATATTAATCTTTTCTTTATTAAGTGTGTTTTATGTAATGAATCGTTTATACTTTTGTATCATCAAATATGCTACGATTGGCGAAATTGTGTGTGGATTGAAATAAGTGAAATAGTTTGTAATCGTTTGGTTAAATTATGTTTGTTTTCGAGTGTCATGATAATAATGTACACTTGATCTTGTTAATTTTCAAATACAATTTCCTATTGTTTTTTTTTTTTGTTCAAGTTTAAAACATTGAATCAGCTCAATGCAAAATAGATTTGAAGAAAATGGAGCAACAACCAAAAACAAATGGTTAACACTTGAGTTCGGCAAAACCAGTTAAGGTTTTTGTTTTCTTGTAGTAGTAACACAGACGAAACATACTAACTAATTACTGAAAAAAACTGGATGCTCTCTCTCTCTCACAAATCCTATTGTGATGTTTAGTAGCCACCGCTAGCTCCACCACCGTAACCTCCACCACCACCACCACCACCACCGTATGATGATCTTGGTGCACTTGATCTTTCGGCTGCAAGGTTCACACGGATGTTCCTACCATTCAGCTCCTGAATCATAAGAAAAAAGACTTTCAGAGACAGAACAATTAATGAATAATAACAACACTTAAATATCAGTATTCTTATTAACCTTGCCATCCATTTCCGAAATTGCATTGGTTGCAGAATCCTCACTGTTGAAGCTGACAAATCCAAAACCCCTTGACCTCCCTGTCTCCCTGTCTGAAATCACCGATGCTGCAATCCCAAAACCAAACACACAAAACTTTCTCATTTTCCATAACATAAACACTTCTCTAATCACTAACAAAGCTAAACACCAAACAGAGACTATAAGCATATTATTGAATGGTTTACACACATATATTCCACATAGCAATTTTGATTTAATCTAAACAAAACACAGTAATGAAAAAGGAGACAGAACCAATGTGGCTTTACCTTCTGTGACTTCACCAAAGTTAGAGAAAGCTTCTTTCAAGGATTGGTCATCAGTTCCCCAAGAGAGACCTGAAATCAAATGTACATGAACAAAACATTTCAAGCTACAAAACAAGTAAGAGTAAAGGAAGATATCTACAACTATATACATACTTACCACCAACAAAAATCTTGGTGGACATGTAACGGAGAGAGCCAAGCATAGATGTCACCGGAACATTTGAGCTCTGAGAAACTCCTTGTCTCAAAAAACCACTAAGTTTGTTGCAGAAAGCCATTTCTAAATACCTGTTCACACATTACATAACCTCAGAAAATGTAAAAATCAACCAAGCTAAATAACTAATCAAAATCACAATTTCTCGATTACAAAGCTGGATTTATGAAAAAACGATAATCAACAAGCTATAAAACATCATTTTCCTTTCAATTAGACCACAAAAGAATCCCAAATCCTAAAATGTAAAAAAGATCGAGCCTTTACAAGTAGCAGACAAAGATCGATGAAAATCCAAGGCACAAAATGACAGATACCAATGCACGCATAAGCCAATTCTAAAGCTATGAAAGACAATCGAAGAGAGTCAAGAGATGAGGCAAAACCCTGACCTCAGCGAATGGAATGGCGAAATTAGGGTTTAGCGGAAGTAAACAGTGACTGAGTAAAGGAGGCAGTGAGAGTAAGAAGACAAAGCGTAGGGTTTAAGAGATTTTATACAGATCTCAGAAACTCTGGTTTTACTCTTTAAAAAGATCTTTTTGTTTTGCCCAAATTAATCACCTGAGGCTACGTGTATCGTATGAGTGTGTACTGCAATAGCTTTACCACTGGATAGACGGATGAGAGAGTAACACGTCGTTAAAGTACGTAAAAACAACGGTAGATAGAAAGAAGCTGTTCGTAGAGAATCAAGTTCCCGGATTCATTTATCTAACTTCTTCTTCTTCTTTAGTGGCCACGTGGAATTGTTTTTATCTATCACTAGCTTCATATAGACAAAAGCCCAATTATAAGACTCAAAAGGCCCATTATATGGCTAGATCCAACAAGGTACTGAAAGGTGGTGTGACACATAAAACGATCGAACCCTAATTTAATAATCGATCTAGTGGGGCAAGCGTTGAAACTTTAGAACTCTGCTTGAGGCTTTGAAGAATGACGAAGATGTCTAATGTTCCAGATGATTTGGTATTGGAGATATTCTCTAGGGTTCCATTGACATCGCTAGGCAAAGTGCGATGTACTTGTAAAAGGTGGAACGCTTTATCCGAAATTCAGATTTTTGGTAAAGAAACAGCAGCAAGGAAACAGGTTCTAGGGTTCATGGTACTTGATCATAGGGTTTGTTCCCTGAGATTCGATCTCCAAGGAATCCTCAACGAAGGAGACTTGGTTGGTCCATCTGTAAAGCAAATAAGTACACTTGATCACATTAAGATGTCTGAAGTTTTTCACGCTGACGGCTTATTGTTATGCGTCACAGAAGACAATCTCATGGTGTGGAACCCATATTTAGGGCAAACCAAATTGATCGGACGGCCTGAGAAATTTTTCGACAATAATCGCATTATTGCTTTCGGATACGACAACAACAAAAACCGTAACCATAAAATCTTAAGGATTTGGGGGGATTATGACAACACTGAAGACGGTGGAAAGAACAACCTCATAATTTTTCTGTTTAGAGTTGTATGATTTTATTTCTAACTCATGGAGGGTTCTTGATGACAAACCAGACTTTGGAATAGATGCTAATCAATGCCCCGTGCCTTTGAAGGGAAACACTTACTTTGTTGCTCAAGAGAAAATAACACAGGATGCAGTGGAACACTTTTTACTCTGTTTTGATTTTACAACGGAGAGCTTTGGTCTGCCTCTTCCGTTTCACTCTGAGGGACACGTTGTGACTTTGTCTTGTGTCAGAGAAGAGAAAGAGCAGCTCGCTGTCTTATGTAAACCTTACGAGGAATTGGAGATTTGGATTACGACTAAGATTTTGCCAAATGCGGTATCATGGAGCAAGTTTTTGAAAGTGGAGATCACACCTCTCAATGGTTTTCTGGATGAGTTTGTGTATGACTTTGATTATGGGAGCTTCTTCATTGACGAGGAGAAAAAAGTCGCTGTGGTTTTTTATGATTACTATGAAGATGATCCATCCGAGAACAACCTGTTAGGAGCTGGCATCATTGGAGAAGATGGCCACTTCAAATTCTTGGATCTCGGAGAAGCTTGGAAAAAAGGATTTTGTGAACCATTTATGTTCTCTTCTTATGTTCCAAGTTTAGTGCAACTACAACTCAACCAACGGGGCAAAAGGAAAGCAGAAGATTATTCTTATCCAAGCAAAAAAAAAAAAAAAAGAACGAAAGAAATGATTAATTAGTTCCTTAATTATGTTTAATTCATTGATTTGCATGGCCTTTCGAACAAAACTACTGATGGTCTTTTTTTTTTGATACTTTATATTTTAATAAAGAACTCGGCTTTTGCATGGTTTTTAGTCCTTTTTCTATTGTGTATGTTAGATGTGATTAACGTACGAGTTCATGTGGAAGTAGAAAGTTTATTTAAGAGATTTATTTTAGTGTTGTGGTTTATATATAGAAGAAGCTTTCATGCTATGATATTCACTTAGATGGTTCACTGCTGTGTTGGTGAATTACCCATGAATTTGTCAATGTCAATTTTAGCATGTAAGTTTTGCAATTTTGTCTGATTTTAATAGAGACTTCGCAACCAATTATTCCTACAAAACCATAAGAATCAAGGTTTTATGGCGGAAAAGATTTAGGTTATTGGTTTTGGTATAAGCAACAAGTAATGAAAAAAGTATATAGAAACAAAAAAGGAAAAGGAAATTAAAGTTTGTTGGAAAGAAAGAAAAGGAAAAGAGGTTCTTAAAGCGGTGATGACACATAATAGGATCGAACTCTAACTTCAAAGAGAGGCAAGCTAAAACCCTAACTTGCGTTGAAAGTTAAAAAAAACAACGATGATGACGACGATGTCCAATTTTTCAGAGGATTTCAGAGAAGCTTAGAAACATGTAGTGGATCTCAGAGAAGCTTGGAAACATGTAGTTAATATACCATCTGCGTTCTCTTCTTATGTTCCAAGTTTAGTGCAAGTACAATTAAACCAACGGGGCAAAAGGAAACTAAAAGATTGTTCTTATTCAAAAAAAAAGGAAAGAACAAAAGAAATGATTAGTTGGTTCCCGATGGTTATGTTTCTCATAATTTTTATTATAATAAAGAATTCGGCTTTTGCAATTTTTAGCTTTTTTTTCTATAGTTTCATGTGCAAGTAGAAAGATTATTGAAGAGAATTGTTTTTGTGTGTTTGTTTATAGAAGAAGCAAGCTCTCGTGATATATATTATAGTTCGTCAGATTTTCTTCACTTTTTAATGTGTTGGTGAATTATACCAATGAATTTGTCAATGTCAGCACTAGAGACAAGGTAGCAGCCAACCTGTCAGCAACTCAGCATGCAGGTTCGTGTGACTTAAATTTCATCGAAGAAAACCTGTCTACTATCAACATGGGCTTATGTCTCTCAAACAGACTGTTTCTGTGCTTAATTAAATAACACCCCACAGGTAAAGACAAAGGCCCACCTGTCTAAGTTCAATCTCCAAAACGACAGAAACAAAGAAAGGAAAAAGGAAAGAGTTAAGGAAATAGGAAAGAGTTTACTGTAAAAAAATGTATATATATGGAAGAGTTTTTAAAGCGGTGGTGAAAAAAAAAAGATCGAACCCTAACTTGAGAGTTGAGAGAGAGAGAAAAAAAAGAGCGCAAGCGTTTAAAGTTAAAAAAAGAAAAAACTCTGCTTGTAGGCTTGTAGCTACGAAGAATGACGACAATCTCCAATTTTCCAGAGGATTTGGTATTAGAGATACTCTCTAGAACTCCATTCACATCTCTGAGCAAAGTGCGTTGCACTTGTAAAACGTGGAACGCTTTATCCAGAATTCAGATTTTTGGTAAAGAAACATCAGCAAGGAAACACGTTCTATGGTTCACGGTTATTGGTTCTAGGGTTTGTTCCTTGAGATTCGATCTCCAAGGAATCCTCAACAAAGGAGACTTGGTTGATCCATCTATAAAGCAAATAAGTAAACTTGATCACATTACGATATATGAAGTTTTACACAGTATTGTTATGTGTCGCCTGCGAAGACGAAAGCAAGCCAAAGCTCATGGTGTGGAACCCGTATTTGGAGCAAAAGAGATGGATCCCACAATCCAATAAAGGTTTAGACCGAGAAGACATGTTTGCTTTCGGATACGACAACAACAACAAGAATCGCAACCACAAAATCTTAAGGATTTTCGAAAAACTTTTCAAGGACAAAGGCGTCTGGGAAGCTCAAATTTCCTGTTTAGAATTGTATGATTTAAATTCTAATTCATGGAGGGTTCTTGATCTCAAACCATATTTTTATATAGATTGTTGTGAATGCATCACGTCTTTAGAGGGAAATGCTTACTTTGTTGCTCAAGCGGTATCAACACAGGATGAAGATGAGAAACGCTTTTTACTCTGTTTTGATTTTACAACTGAGAGCTTTGGTCCGCGACTGCCTCTGCCGTTTCACTCTAAGGGAGAAGTTCTGACTTTGTCTTGTGTTAGAGAAGAGAAAGAGCAGCTCGCTGTCTTATGGCAATATGACGAGGAATTAGAGCTTTGGATTACGACTAACGTTTTGCCAAATGCAGTATCATGGAGCAAGTTTTTCAAAGTGGAGATCACACCTCTCAATAGTTTTCCGGATGAGTTTTGGTATAACTTTGATAATGGGAGCTTCTTCATTGACGAGGAGAAAAAAGTCGCTGTGGTTTTTTTTGAATACTATAAGGAGGATAAAGATGAAATTGAATATGATCCAAACAAGGAGATAGTACAGCAAGGAGCTTACATCATTGGAGAAAACCGAAGCTTCAAATTTGTGGATCTCGGAGAAGCTTGGAAACCTGTAGTTTGCAAACCACTTGTGTTCTCATCTTATGTTCCAAGTTTAGTGCAAGTAGAATTCAACCAACGGGGAAAATGAAAACTAAAAGATTGTTCTTATTAAAATAAAAAGAAAGAACGAAAGAACTGTTATAGTAAGAAGAGAGAACAAGAGAAAAGAGGAATTGGTTGTGTATTATTAGTCCTTTATATAGGGATACAAGAGAAAGGTTTCCTTGGAGAAGAGGTACAACTTGGAGAACAAGCTAGAACATTCTAGAATATGAGCCGATAATGGGCTTCCATATAAACTAATCATAACACTCCCCCTTGGAAGTCCATTATCTAGAAATATCTTCTAAGTGCGCATGATGCTGCCTCGTTAAAACCTTACCAGGAAAACCAAAGGGAAAAACCTTAGTTAAGGAAAAAGAGTACCACTACAAGAAAAAAGCTGTATTGTTAAAATTTGGTCATAATAACAACTATTTCGTAACAATAAAATTATTGCTACTGATTTGTGACAATTTGTAAATGGTAACAATATGCTCGTCACAATTCATTATTTGTAACAAAAACGTCACAAGACTTAAGACGAATATTTTAGTAATCATTTTGTCACAAACAGTGGCGAGAATTTAACGTAACAAAATTGTCACAATTATTAACTAAAAAAAACGTCTGAAAACCGTCGTATTTTGTGACAGTCACAACGTCTCAACTCGGTCATTCATATTTACTGAAAAAATGTCACCAATACGTCATAATTTGTGAATATTGTACTGTCTTAATTAGCTACTAATTTGGCATACTTTTGTCTCGATTTCTCACTAAATTATGTTAAGTTATATATTGTTCATTATTAAATCGTCATCAATATTAACTATATCCTTGTCTGCTTTATTCCATTTAAGCAATATATTATGATTTATATTTGTTTTATTATAATGTTGAAACTATAAAACGAATCTACTATTTTTTCTAAAATTAAGAAAGGAACCAACATTCAAAATAAAATTGTTATATAATCTTGGAATCGATATATCATTTAAAACTAGATGGTATCCCGCGCTACGCGCGGGCTATTTGATCAACAAATTTGTCAATAATTATGTTTGGTAATTGTTTTTAGGGCTTGACTGGTTTAACCGCTGCGGTTGCGGTTGCGGGTGCGGGAGTTTGTGGAAGCGGGCGGTTGTGATTAGTAGCGTTATTAAGCGGTTTGTACGACTGGCATAACAATTGAAAATGGATGCGTTTGCGGGTTACTTATGACTGGTTCATTTGCAGATGCAATAGCGATTAAACAATAAATTAATAATATAAACACATTATATACTTATAAAAATATCAAAAATATATTATAATGAAAATTTTAAATTTATGGTTCAACATAATTAAAAATATTTTTTTATAAAGAATATTATGTGTATAATACTTATATCTATCTTTTAATTTCTAATATGTGTAGAACCTATTAATCCATGTTTGGGTAAGTATGGGTCCATCTAGTTCATCTTATACACTACAAGTGAGTTTCCACAATGTGGAGTCACAGAGGTACATTTCGGACTCCTTACCTCTTCCGGTTCCCAAATTAGGTCCATTTGATGTTCCTCCCTTGGATTGAGACCGTTTCACTCATGTTTGTCCTCATAGTCATGTGTAGAACCTATTAATCCATGTTTGGATAAGTATGGGTCCATCTAGTTCATCTTATACACTACAAGTGAGTTTCCACAATGTGGAGTCACAGAGGTACATTTCGGACTCCTTACCTCTTCCGGTTCCCAAATTAGGTCCATTTGATGTTCCTCCCTTGGATTGAGACCGTTTCACTCATGTTTGTCCTCATAGTCATGTGTAGAACCTATTAATCCATGTTTGGATAAGTATGGGTCCATCTAGTTCATCTTATACACTACAAGTGAGTTTCCACAATGTGGAGTCACAGAGGTACATTTCGGACTCCTTACCTCTTCCGGTTCCCAAATTAGGTCCATTTGATGTTCCTCCCTTGGATTGAGACCGTTTCACTCATGTTTGTCCTCATAGTCATGTGTAGAACCTATTAATCCATGTTTGGGTAAGTATGGGTCCATCTAGTTCATCTTATACACTACAAGTGAGTTTCCACAATGTGGAGTCACAGAGGTACATTTCGGACTCCTTACCTCTTCCGGTTCCCAAATTAGGTCCATTTGATGTTCCTCCCTTGGATTGAGACCGTTTCACTCATGTTTGTCCTCATAGTCATGTGTAGAACCTATTAATCCATGTTTGGATAAGTATGGGTCCATCTAGTTCATCTTATACACTACAAGTGAGTTTCCACAATGTGGAGTCACAGAGGTACATTTCGGACTCCTTACCTCTTCCGGTTCCCAAATTAGGTCCATTTGATGTTCCTCCCTTGGATTGAGACCGTTTCACTCATGTTTGTCCTCATAGTCATGTGTAGAACCTATTAATCCATGTTTGGATAAGTATGGGTCCATCTAGTTCATCTTATACACTACAAGTGAGTTTCCACAATGTGGAGTCACAGAGGTACATTTCGGACTCCTTACCTCTTCCGGTTCCCAAATTAGGTCCATTTGATGTTCCTCCCTTGGATTGAGACCGTTTCACTCATGTTTGTCCTCATAGTCATGTGTAGAACCTATTAATCCATGTTTGGATAAGTATGGGTCCATCTAGTTCATCTTATACACTACAAGTGAGTTTCCACAATGTGGAGTCACAGAGGTACATTTCGGACTCCTTACCTCTTCCGGTTCCCAAATTAGGTCCATTTGATGTTCCTCCCTTGGATTGAGACCGTTTCACTCATGTTTGTCCTCATAGTCATGTGTAGAACCTATTAATCCATGTTTGGATAAGTATGGGTCCATCTAGTTCATCTTATACACTACAAGTGAGTTTCCACAATGTGGAGTCACAGAGGTACATTTCGGACTCCTTACCTCTTCCGGTTCCCAAATTAGGTCCATTTGATGTTCCTCCCTTGGATTGAGACCGTTTCACTCATGTTTGTCCTCATAGTCATGTGTAGAACCTATTAATCCATGTTTGGATAAGTATGGGTCCATCTAGTTCATCTTATACACTACAAGTGAGTTTCCACAATGTGGAGTCACAGAGGTACATTTCGGACTCCTTACCTCTTCCGGTTCCCAAATTAGGTCCATTTGATGTTCCTCCCTTGGATTGAGACCGTTTCACTCATGTTTGTCCTCATAGTCATGTGTAGAACCTATTAATCCATGTTTGGATAAGTATGGGTCCATCTAGTTCATCTTATACACTACAAGTGAGTTTCCACAATGTGGAGTCACAGAGGTACATTTCGGACTCCTTACCTCTTCCGGTTCCCAAATTAGGTCCATTTGATGTTCCTCCCTTGGATTGAGACCGTTTCACTCATGTTTGTCCTCATAGTCATGTGTAGAACCTATTAATCCATGTTTGGATAAGTATGGGTCCATCTAGTTCATCTTATACACTACAAGTGAGTTTCCACAATGTGGAGTCACAGAGGTACATTTCGGACTCCTTACCTCTTCCGGTTCCCAAATTAGGTCCATTTGATGTTCCTCCCTTGGATTGAGACCGTTTCACTCATGTTTGTCCTCATAGTCATGTGTAGAACCTATTAATCCATGTTTGGATAAGTATGGGTCCATCTAGTTCATCTTATACACTACAAGTGAGTTTCCACAATGTGGAGTCACAGAGGTACATTTCGGACTCCTTACCTCTTCCGGTTCCCAAATTAGGTCCATTTGATGTTCCTCCCTTGGATTGAGACCGTTTCACTCATGTTTGTCCTCATAGTCATGTGTAGAACCTATTAATCCATGTTTGGATAAGTATGGGTCCATCTAGTTCATCTTATACACTACAAGTGAGTTTCCACAATGTGGAGTCACAGAGGTACATTTCGGACTCCTTACCTCTTCCGGTTCCCAAATTAGGTCCATTTGATGTTCCTCCCTTGGATTGAGACCGTTTCACTCATGTTTGTCCTCATAGTCATGTGTAGAACCTATTAATCCATGTTTGGATAAGTATGGGTCCATCTAGTTCATCTTATACACTACAAGTGAGTTTCCACAATGTGGAGTCACAGAGGTACATTTCGGACTCCTTACCTCTTCCGGTTCCCAAATTAGGTCCATTTGATGTTCCTCCCTTGGATTGAGACCGTTTCACTCATGTTTGTCCTCATAGTCATGTGTAGAACCTATTAATCCATGTTTGGATAAGTATGGGTCCATCTAGTTCATCTTATACACTACAAGTGAGTTTCCACAATGTGGAGTCACAGAGGTACATTTCGGACTCCTTACCTCTTCCGGTTCCCAAATTAGGTCCATTTGATGTTCCTCCCTTGGATTGAGACCGTTTCACTCATGTTTGTCCTCATAGTCATGTGTAGAACCTATTAATCCATGTTTGGATAAGTATGGGTCCATCTAGTTCATCTTATACACTACAAGTGAGTTTCCACAATGTGGAGTCACAGAGGTACATTTCGGACTCCTTACCTCTTCCGGTTCCCAAATTAGGTCCATTTGATGTTCCTCCCTTGGATTGAGACCGTTTCACTCATGTTTGTCCTCATAGTCATGTGTAGAACCTATTAATCCATGTTTGGATAAGTATGGGTCCATCTAGTTCATCTTATACACTACAAGTGAGTTTCCACAATGTGGAGTCACAGAGGTACATTTCGGACTCCTTACCTCTTCCGGTTCCCAAATTAGGTCCATTTGATGTTCCTCCCTTGGATTGAGACCGTTTCACTCATGTTTGTCCTCATAGTCATGTGTAGAACCTATTAATCCATGTTTGGATAAGTATGGGTCCATCTAGTTCATCTTATACACTACAAGTGAGTTTCCACAATGTGGAGTCACAGAGGTACATTTCGGACTCCTTACCTCTTCCGGTTCCCAAATTAGGTCCATTTGATGTTCCTCCCTTGGATTGAGACCGTTTCACTCATGTTTGTCCTCATAGTCATGTGTAGAACCTATTAATCCATGTTTGGATAAGTATGGGTCCATCTAGTTCATCTTATACACTACAAGTGAG